GCCACATACCTGTCTGCTTTTGTTCTTTCACATACCAGTAAGAGTATCTAGAACAGTGTCGATAATAGAATATCAATACTCCTAAAAAGAAATCCAGTTAATACAACTATTACTCAAATTTATACACTAACCACTAATGAAGAAAATGAAGAAGTCTACCAACTTCCTCAATCTGAAATGGATCAAACATGCAATCAAGATGCATTGATAATTAATGGCAATTAGAATGCAAGAGTTGGAAACAAACAGGAGGGAACATTAGTAGGAAAGTACGTATGTCCTAGGTGATAGAAATTAAGCTGGAGATCACATGATATAATTTTTGCAAGATCAATAGTGTCATTGCAAATACCTTTAACAACATAAGCAGTGACTGTACCCATGGACCTTGACAGGTGGAATGCCCAAGAATCAAGATGTCTTGGTCTGTAGGATGACACCATGGAGAAACTCCTTATCAGCAGCCCAAACAAGGCCAGAGGCTGCCTGTGGAACAGTTCATCTACTGCCCTGTGTAAAGTAAGGCTGAAGCTGAAGCCAATGAGAACAAGTCCATGGGAGCCCAAACATGGCCATGAGTAGATTTCACTTGAATTTAGAAACCATCTTAAGAACAGACTCGATGCCTTGAACACTAATAACATAAGACCTGATGACCTGTGGGATGACATTCAGAACATCAGGCAAGAATAAAGGGAAAGGTCATTTAAAAAGACATGAAAGAAAGAGAAGATCAAAGTGGATGCCAGAGGAGACTCTGAAATTTACTCTTGAATATAGAATAAGTAAAGGAAATGGCAGAAATGAGCTAAACAGAAACTTTCAAAGGGCAACCCAAGAAGACAAAATAAAACATTATAAATAAATATGTATGCAATGGCACAGGGTTAAAATACCAAACCTGAAGAACACACTCAGTATATATCAAATTGAAAGAACTGAAAAAACAATCCAAGCCTCATGTTTCCAAATTGAAGGAGTCTATGGACAAAATATTAGTACAGGAAACATAAAAAGAGAGTAGAAGGAATGGGGTCACTGTACCAAAAGGAATATCTTGTCATTCAACCATTTCAAGAGATAGTATATGATGAAGAATCAATGGTATTGATAGAAGACACCCAAGCTGCACTAAAGGCATTGGCAAAAAGGAATTGACAAAATAACAATTGAGATGTTTCAACGAACTGATGAAACATTAGTACCACTCACTTGTCGAAACCAAGAAATTTGGAAGAGAGCTACCTGGTTAACCACCTGAAAGAGATCCATATTTATGTCCATGTCTAAAAAAGGTGACCCCAAAATTGAGAAAATTATCAAACCACATCACTAATATTACATATAAGTAAATTTTTGCATAAGATAATCCAATAATGGCTGCAGAACATGGAATGAGTGCTGCCAGAAATTCACGCCAGGTTCAGAAAATGTGGAACACGGGTATCACTGCTGCAGTTAGATGGATCTTGGTTAAAAACAGATAATATGTTTTGGGAGTGTTTCTCTATATAATATTTGTATATTCTATTATTACTCTTGAAAATTTTAACGTCAACCAAAAAAAATTAAGGCCCTTTAAAAAATGTATCAGATTTTCACTTTTCTTATATGGTGTTCTTTAGTTTGAATGCAATAACTTCTTGAATGAATTGCTCTGTGAACATTATCAGCTGATTTCCTCCCCACCCCACCCCCACCCCTGCAATTGAAGGTTTCTCACCTTCATTTGAAGGCTATTCTCAAATGTCTGATGGTCCTTAGTTATCTATTCATATCTGAATGCCAGCGTCTAACAGGCAATTTTCAACTCCACAAAAAGTTTCTCACTTTGTGAGCATCTGACAGTCTGACAACCCATTGCCTTAGAATCAGTCAAGGAGGCAACTGTTTCTCCAGGTTGCCAGAACATGGATGTTTTGAGTTTTATTTTGCTTGTTTGATAAGGGGAGAGGTTTAAACTTCCCCCTTTTGATATTTCACCTGGAGATTTCACACATAGATGTTGAGCATTTGTCATAGGAGGAAAAGACAATTAAAATGTTTACATATAGACTCTCAACTAATCCCCCTACTGTCAGCCCACATTTCACTCCCACCTTTGTCCTAACCTGACATTCCCAAGTTCCCATCGATCTGTTATAATTATCACAAGCTTTTCGTTCTACTTAACAATTGCCCATCTCTGCCTTTTCAGCTGCGTAATTGAAATTGTAGACCAACTGGCATCCCGAGCCCATCGAGTCCAGAGTGTGGCTCTTCAGAAACATGGCTGCACTGTGTCTCCCTGGTGGCCAAGTCTCAACAGTACAAGACTTAGCTGCTTCTTTTTATATTATTATTAATTAACTTTGATTGAGGGCTATTACATCTCTTATCACAATCCATACATTCATCTATTGTGTCAAGCACATTTGCACGTATGCTGCCATCATCATTTTCAAAGCATTTTCTTTCTACTTGAGCCCTTGATATCAGCTCCTCGTTTCTCCCCAGCCTTCACTGCCTCATTAACCCTTGATAAGTTATAGATTATTATTTTCATTCTTACATCATCCTCTGTCACCTTTCACCCACTTTTCCATTGTTCGTCCCCCTGGGAGGGAGTTATATGTTGATCTTTGTGATCGGTTCCCTTTTTCCCTCCTCCTGCCCCTAATCTTCCTAGTATCTCTATTCTCATTGTTGGTCCTGAGGGGTTTATCTATCCTGGATTCCCTG